GTTTTCCCAGTTTGATTACTATATTCTCTGCGCCCAATTATCTCGATGTTTATAATAATAAAGCTGCTATTCTTAAATACGAAAATAACGTGATGAATATTCGTCAATTTAATTGTTCGCCTCATCCGTATTGGTTACCCAATTTCATGGATGTCTTTACATGGAGTTTGCCGTTCGTTGGTGAAAAAGGTATGCTGACGAACTTAAGTCAAATTAATCGACGTCATTCTGATGTTTTAGTTACCGAAATGCTTGCTAACATTCTCAATATTTGTTCTGATGAAGAATTAGGAAATGATAATGAACCGATTGACGAAGGTACGTTAATCTTCTTTTCAACAGGCTAGATGATCTTTCGTTGTGTTTTTTCTTTTTTTCTCTAGTAGATATGACAAGTGAAGGTAGGAAGACGAGCAGCTATTCTCGAGAGAATGACACATTTTTCCTCGTTTCTTTTTCCATTTTAGCTGCATTAGCTGCACGCAAAGAAGTGATACGAAATAAAGTACGAGCGATCGGAAAGATGGTTCGCTATTTTGCCACATTGAGGTAAAAAGGAGAAGCTCAAACGAAATAAAAATATGCAAATATTACTAATAATCATATATTTCAGAGAACAAAGTGAAGATATTCTCACACTGAAAGGTTTAACTCCAAGCGGCCAATTACCACTGGGTACACTTGAAGGAGGAAAATCAGCGATTGAACAAGGTAATTCAAAGCAACGAAGGAGACGAAAGGTTTCTTGATCGATTTCTTTCTAGCCAAACAATTGATTGCTGATAAGAAGAAAATCACATTCGAAGAAGCGAAACGCTTAGATAAAAGTAATGAGATTATGCCTCCATGGCAACAACTGCATCCGTCATCGTCGGGCTTAACATCGGGCATTGGTTCGAGTAATACAGCATCTTCTAATAGTGGCTCGTCATCACCACGACCTAGTGGCACCTCGTCCCCAGCCAATGCATTAGCTGATGCGTCGTCAAGTGTAACGACAAATCTCTTAATTGATTCAACAAACACAAATTGTAATGGTAATGATAAAACATCTGGAAAACCTTCAACTCAACAATCATCATCACATCATCGAACGAAGTGAAGATAAATTAGTTTATCTATAGTCTTCTTTTTCCTAGCGTGAATTAATTTGCATTCACTGATATAAATACGTTTTATGGGATGTTGATTCACCTATCAGCTATTCCAAGTTTTTCTTTCTTTTATTTTCTTCTTTTCTTTTCTTTTTTTTGTAAAAAACAAACAGTCGACAGACTACGTTTCTTTATTTTCGTTCCTCTATGCGCATGTCTAACTTTTTTCGTGATAAACTATAACGTTCATTTTTCTTTGTTCTTTTGTCGTCAGCATGTTCAAGCGGATGAGGACAAGTCATCCTTGTATTAACCGTGTTTTTCTTTAATGTTGTCCTGCGCTATGCTTTCGTCTGCGTTTTTGTTTCATTATTTCTTCTTTCTTTCACATTGGCTTCATACTTTCCATGATGATTATCAGCAAGATCGCATAGTTTTTCTCTTTTCTTCTCTATTTGTTTGTTTGTTCGTTGTGAGCGATGAAATTCCTACTTTTTTTTCGGTCTTTTTCTCTTTCTCTCTGTCTTTTATTCGTGTGGGCAAAATCAGCATGACGACAATAGCCAAAAAAAGAAGTATACGATGAATTTGTTCAATGAAAACAAAAAACCTTCTTTGAATATAAGCGAACTGAACGAAAGTCGACTGACATGTCTTTTGCCACCAAACGTCATATTACATATGTGATCTAACCATCATGTTTACAACAATACCTTTTTACTTTTTGTAAGTGACTGTGAGAGTTCCGTTTATTGGTGAAAACCAAGCAAGGAAAACACACGTACAATATGTGAAAAGAAACGGTAGAACAACAAGAAGACGAGAACGAACGAACGATAGAAAATACCACTGTATATATACGTATGTGTGTGATGGGGAATAATCCTTCACATATATATCAGTAAGGAAAAGCCCGGAGAATATCCCATGATTCAAGATGGATGTTTCCAGTTATATTTTGGTATAATCTCTTATACCTACACTTTTCATGAATGACTAAACAGAACTCATTTGTCTTCATTTGTTATAAAAGTCAATTTTGTCATTCAATACCTCGTTTATGTGTCCATACTTGTCGGTATATATTGATACGCGAGATGGATTATGTTTCGTAATCTTTCGAATTCTCTTACTTCCTTCCTTTGGTAGAAGGACAAAAGAAAAGGCGCGTTAGCAGATGATGAAATAGCTTGAAAACCATTTAGTCGTAAGCGCAGCAATTATGGGAGTCATCGCTCGTAGATTACAAAATAAAAATAACGACAAAATAGGCGCAGCACACTTCTCGTTACGCAAATGAAAAATGAAAGAACAGGTTTTATCGATAAAACCGAAAGACATAGAAGAAAATCTCTCATTCACTTCTTTTTTTTGTTCTTTTTCGAACGTAAATACCGCACCTCTTAAACATTCGATTATCCTTAGACATCATAACTTTTACGGCACATTTACTCACGTGCACACGTTCGAATGGCACAAAACACAAATCAACAAACGCAACCGTACGTCTTTCTTAACTTGATTTCGTTTACGTTTACCAATAAATGCTATGCCTTTTTCATCATAGACTGCATCCGCCATCCACTACTCGTTCACGACCACGGTTGGTCTCTGAGCCGCCGGGTATTGGCAGCAACCTAAGCGCAGCTGAACGTTATATTCGAGAACAGGCTGAAAAGGCAGGCGTGAACAATTGCTCATCCGACACGCGCTCCACTGTAAGCAGTACAACTAGTGTAACTCATAATCAACTCATGGGTGACTGGCGAGAAACGGAAATTAATAAAAGGCACATGAATGAGCCATTTCGGTACAAATACGGCACCCCGCCCCGATCACTGAATCAAGGAACAAGCAGTCAGCCGTCGTCAACTTCACTTTTTCGACATAAAAGCAAAAAATGATTATTGATAATCGAATGAGCTCAAAAATATGATACAAGCCAAGACCATGCAATTACACACAAGTTTTTTAAAAGAAGTAAGTGATATGACTCCCTTTAATCGGTGTCTTCCGATTTTCGTTCTGTATATACGTGTGCTATATGTGGTGATAACTGCAGTTTTAAAAGTTTTCAATATTTCATAGTAAACTTATTTAAATCACGAACAAGTGAAATGTATGAATTCTTGTGTATCACATCGATTTACTTCTTTCATACGCGATCAATACGAGATGATTGTTTAAAAAAAGACAGCACTAATGTACATAGAGAGAATTGATCGAAGGTTACAAAAATCAGATAAATAGAGCAAGATTTCGCTGATAGATACACTCTAATGGCACTCTGTTATTGTTGATACCGTATTTCCTTCACGTCGGGTTACAGTTCGACAATGTTGATTCGAGTGTTTCGACACTGTGTGATGACTACCACTAAAGTCATCGAATAGATTTCCAAAGCCGAAAGAATCTCCGTCGAAGCTGTGGACATTCGTTCCGAAGAAGTCATCCTCATCATTAAACAACGAGCCGAAGCTGTGGATATTCGTTCCGAGGAGGTCATCCTCATCATCAAACAACGAGCCAAAATCGAAATGAAAGCCCTGATGCGCTTGTTGATGCGCACGCTGATGAGCGCGTTGATGAGCACGCTGATGAGCGCGTTGATGAGCTTGATGATGAGCTTGATGATGAGCATTGTGATGAGCTTGGTGGAAAGAATCGAATTCTTTGAAGAAGTCGTGCATGTTAAAATTGAAACCGTGAGAACCTCCATGCTGAGATGAGGAAGTAAACGATTGATGTCCTTGAGCATCGTATTGTCGGCGTTTCTCCGGATTACCCAACACATCGTATGCTTCAGCTATGGAACGAAAGGTTTCTTCAGCTTTTGGATCTTTATTCTTGTCTGGATGGTATTTTAAAGCTAAATAATGACAGGAAGAGATTAGCTTGCTAGAAAATGTATCTTTTTCATCGCATACCTAACTGGCGAAATTTCCGTTTTATTTCCTTTTCATTTGCATCTCGTTTGACACCTAGGATTTGATAATAATCTTTCGCTGTTACTACAACTATACAAACAGCTAGCACGATAAATCGTATCCATGCAATGGTATTCATTCGTACTCAGCTAGTTTCCCTCTATGATAGTTAGAATGTTGCTCTATAGCACAAAAATGTGATGTATTCCATCGGCTCAGCTGTCATACCTATTAGAAACTGCATTATGAGGTTGCTGCATACGATTAGCCATTTATCGCTCCAACAGTGAATATACGACGCAAATGAAACTGTTCGATAGATGTCGCGCTTGATGTGAAAATGTGCAAAAATAGGAAATGATTTAAAAATAAATTACAAAAAATTAGATCCCATCCATCGATGCATAACTACTTGAGAAAAATGAATCTATTCGCCATTTTTGTCTCTCGTCCTCCACGTTGATGCCACTTAAATGACTCAACGACCTACACGTCTTTGTCATCATCAGTGCATTTTCCATCTTACGCCATTATTCGTCATTCACATTTTAAACATATACAAAGCAAGTTAACACGAATCTTTTATTTGATATGCCACAACAAACGGAAAATCTTTCATTTACCGTGGATGATTTCGTCTCCGATATTGACTATTCAGAAGCCCGTCATATCTTAGACTTAACAACAATCAAACAAAAAGAACTTCGTCGAAAACGTTCACAAGCATTGTTTACACAACTACTTCTTAAACGAACTTATACACGCGTTTGCGAATTACTCGATTCTGAATGTACAGTCCAAAAGTCTTCTCCACTCTCTACAATCGATACCAACAAGCGCAAAATCTCCTCGGATGATCACCAAGTGCCCTCATTACCGGCAAAGAAAAGTAAACCTTCCGTCGATGCTGACATTCTTCAATTTCTTCGCGAACTCAATGCGGTTAAAGTTCTGCCCAGGTATTGAGGAGAAATCGAATCTCGATAAGTATATCTACATAAAATTTAGTGTTGACATCGAATTCTCTTCATGTTGTACTACTGTCTACGAAGCAAACCGGCCGATTGTATGCGTTGTGTAAGTGAACATCAGACATTGAAGTTCTTCGGTGAATGATATCTCGTTTTCGTTTTTTTCGTTTCTCTTTGCTTTTGTTTACTTTATCAGATATGTTCTAGTGTAAAATAAAACACATCAGACAGTGTGCCTGATACCATACGCATGAATTTACTTTCATGGTCAATGCAAGAGGATTACGCATATGTTTGTGAGATGTTTTCTCCACGATTTGCTCCCCGTTTTTATTTCTTATAGACGTGAAGAGGTATTGAAAGAGTTTGATGGAAAATAACACCAACCATACCGGCGATTGGTATTAGTCGTGATAAGTTGTCTTTGTTTGACTTTTGATTAATTTTTAATTAAGCTCGACATATACAAAAGACTTCCGACTGGCAAAACAATGTCGACAACGAGTCAAGTAATAAACAGAGCAAGTTTGTGTCTCTCTTTATTATTGTTACATTTTGATGAATGAGAATCTTCGCACTGAAAAGAGAATTATCATTCTAGAATCGACGAGTATTCTGATGATTGAAAATAAGTATGTCAATACATTATTTATTAGTCTAACAGAAAGAATATTACTTTTTTTCTGTGGCTCGAAGTGACGAGCGCACAAGTATCGGAACGAGGGCCAATTATCGATATTGTGAATCTAAACACCCATGTGCTGATTCTTCTACTAACCCGATTCTGTCTTTTATTTATTTAATAAATATACATCTCTAAGGCAAACATGTACACGATTTCAAAGGTGATTCATAAGACAAGATAGCATATTTCAACAAAAATAAACATGTCGAATGGGAGTCTTCTGTTGGTGACAAGACTATCATAGAGAAGATGTGTTCGAGCAAATGCTTCGGTAAAGATCAGCTAGACAGTTGTGCATGATAAAGTAATCGTCGAACTACAGAAGAGATTAAGACCTTGAATGTTTGTTGCTAGGCGCAAGTATTAACCAGATCTTAATTGTAATTGATGGTATGGTCGATGTTAACATAATGGATTTGTTTTAGCGAGAATAACAGAATCTCAATCAGTTCGATGATTTAGATCGAATAGGATGGCTCCCGAGATGCTATTATTCAAGTCCTATTAATCCATTAGAAATGCATTATTCAATGCGATACAATCAAGAACTGCAATTGCTATGTGTGGTGTTCTGTGAGATGGATTACAAGATCTTGATTAACATGTAAAAAACAAAAAAACATGCGTATGTTGTTCGAGACATTAGTGACGATTCAATGGAGGTTTCGAAGGATTATCCGATACGTTTCATCTGAGACAAGTCCTATTGAAAGAAGATCTATATCGTTCAGAAATCTTCGATTGATATTCTCTTTCATATGCATTCAGGTAGAAATAATGTCTTTAAAGGCTTCGCGTATATCATTCCTCAATCTCGATTTATGACGATCAAACACCACTGCATCTCTTTGGAGACGTTTGCTCTCCGAAGTGCTGAGCCCATTTACGTACTACAATTTACCATGTTCTTTTTCGTTTCGATAGTAATAAGGAAATTGAAGTTGTCGCTGTCTCTCACTTGGACTTCTAGTTTTCAATGCGCAAAACATATTTTTGATGGAAAACGTATTATAAAGCATTTCGGTGACCCGGATAATTATGCAGTTATTCTGTTTACTGATTCTATCAGCGAGGAGAAAACATATAGCTGTTTGTTTCGAATTATATCGGTAAGAAAAACAGAACATCGATAAACAGAAATTTCCTTGTTGTTTCGTCTGATAACAATTGCCTTGATTGTCTTCTAGACAGCGCTATTCTCGACACCGAAAATGCATTAAATCGTCTCTCAATATTGTTTTCCGACAGAAAGATGTCGGACCATATGTTAACAAACGTTACGTTTTTACTCGAACTAATAGTGTCAGAAATCAGTACTCTTCTGGCACATCCTTGAGTGATCTCTTCATGTCGATTATGGTCGTCGACGAAACGATATAGTTATTTAGAAATATCTCGTCAATTGGTAATTTCCAAACGTTTATGTCATGCCCTTCTTCGCCGATAGTCAACCAGAATCTACTCAAAGTCTTAACATAAACAAAAGAGAAATCCAATATACTCGGAATGTTACCAAGATGCTTTTTATTACCGAGAAGAATAGAAACAAATACAAAAAAGCTAAGTCGCGATTCGATGTGATCGAGAAAACAGTTTTTCTCATTGTATGCGCCATTATCCGTCATTCACATTTTTAACATACACAAAACAAGGTAACACGAATCTATTATTCAATATGCCACAACAAACGGAAAATCGCCCATTTACCGTCGGTGATTTCGTCACCGCTATCCA